CTTTCTAAAGCTATCAGTATCAGTTTTTTTTTTTTATTCATTTTTTTTGGGGGGGGGCGGTATTAGCAAGGATGCTTTGAATTGATCAAAAGTGAAGATTACAAAAGACAAAAGATTTGTATTTCAGATAAATGCTGAACTTTCTATTCATCAAAGAAACCTGAAAAAAATCTACTTTGTTGTACTTTGGATCAAATAAATGCAGGCTTGGTGAGCAGAAGAGACATTACAACATTACAAATCTTACTGTTATGTATGTATGTATATATATTTTTAATTAATTAATTAAATACTATTATTATTATTATTTTTTTTATCTGTGCATCGCATATAATACATTTCACTGGCAGCCAATTTTGAGTGACCGAGATGTGTGCATGATCATAGAGTAGAGTTTGAGAGATAAGAAATGTGATAGTGACACAATATTTTCTTCTCCTGTGAAATGTTTTTATTTTAAAATTTAATCTTTAAACTCAGAAACATGCTTCATACATTGTAATTGTGTAATGTGTAATTATTAAACTATATCAATACAGTTCTTTTATTTAATTTTGATACATTTTCTTTTCTAAACTGTTACATATAACAAACATATGAAAACATTTCATGTGAATGAGAGTTGTGCTTGTCTCAGATGGCTTTAGTTGGCTGATGGTACTTTACCCATTAAGTGTTTTTTCGTATTTTGCTCTGGCCTAAATACAATAATGAAACACTTAGGAGCAAAAATACAGAAACTCAAACCAAAGCTTGAAGCTAAAATGGCAAATATCTCCACAGCTACAGTAAATTTCCCAGGAGAGCTGACATAAGCAGGAATAAAGGTGATCCATACAGCACAGAATATGAGCATACTGAATGTGATGAACTTAGCCTCATTGAAGTTATCAGGCAGCTTCCGGGCAAGAAAAGCTAAAACAAAGCAAAGGAAAGCTAGGAGGCCAATATATCCCAGTACAGCCCAGAAACCTATAGCTGATCCTAAACTGCATTCTAGAATGATCTGTTCTTTGTAGTGTTGCATATTCTTGTAAGGGAATGGAGGGGATATCATTAACCAAAGCACACATATAAGTACCTGTACAAGAGTGAAACCCAAAACACTGAGTCTCTGTTGAAGAGGCCCAAACCATTTCGTGACATTACTTCCTGGAAGTGTAGCTTTGAAAGCCATTAACACTACTATTGTTTTCCCCAAAACACAGGAGATACAGAGGACAAAAGTGATCCCAAATGCTGTGTGACGCAACATACAGGACCACTCAGTGGGCCGACCAATGAAAGTAAGTGAACAGAGAAAACACAGAGCCAGTGAGAAAAGCATCAGGAAACTCAGCTCTGAGTTGTTGGCTCTTACTATTGGAGAGGCCCTGTTTTTGTAGAATACTAATGTTATGCTTAAAGCCACTAAAGAGCCAGCAATAGAGAAAGTAGCCAGTAAAATCCCAAGAATCTCATCCCAGGAGAGAAACTCCACTGGTTTAGGAAGACACTTGTCCTTCTCATTATTGGGCCAATACTCAGGTAGGCATTCGTGACAATCTAAAGAATCTGGAAGATGAAGAAATCAATGCTTAACAGCCATTCATGAACCACATGAACAAAATAAAGACATATAGGTGATTAGACTATGCTGTTTTAGAATGACGAAATCAGGGAAAAAAGGCTCAATGACACAATGCTCTTTTTGTCCTATACATTAATTTACTAAAACATACATTAAAAATGCAATTAAATAAAACTTCTCAGAAGTGCTCCTAAGAATAGTCTTAAGTTTTGACTTAAAAGTTTTGACTTAGTAAAAAGTATGACTACTCATATATTGTTGTAAGCTTTCTTTTTTTAAATAATCTAAAAGCAATGTCTTTACAAACAGATTTACAAGTGCTGACTGAGTTCACACATAGGCGGAAATCCCGGGGGGGTCAATAACAATGTTTTTACTTTAAATAATTGTGTAAGTAGTAAAACAACACAAACGGGGCAAAAATGCATTTTAAGTTTAGAAACATTTTGAGTCTCCCCCTCCCTTGCCTCACAGTGCTTTGGTCCAAATGCCTGCTTTCCTCTTTTACATCACCTACACACACAAGTCCGGTGAGAGAGAACAAAGTCAATAGTTGTGGAACTCCAGTAAGTAAGGCTTTCAAGGCTATTTTATTCACTTAAACATCGGATGAAGTGATTATTTTCTCTCTAATACAGATGATGCCAATATATTTTTCGATGAGTCCGCTATGTTAGCAATAATTATGTTACCTGCTTGAGGGAAAGGGTTGCCAGGTTTTCATAACAAAACCCGCCAAATTGCTACTCAAAACTAGCCCAAACTATCCGCATTTCAAAGGGGGTCCCCCAGTAAAATCACGCGATTTTATCCAGGGGCTAAAATAAACGTTACTGGAGTCGCTTCAACCCGCGAACATAAAAAAACAACCTGCAGCAACAGTGATAAAGTAGTCCAATTCCACAGGAAAACCGCGGACTTGGCAACACTATGAGGGATAGTAATGTCTACAATGGACACGACCTCTGTCACGGCGCAACCACAACAGCTTTAAGTTGTCTAATTTGGCATGGTCTCCCTGCTGCACTAATAGTAGTAAGGCTTTCCTCTGTGTATACATATTCTTACAAGTACAATTTTAGCTGCATTATCTGTGTCCCCTTCAAAAATTGCTCTTGAGAAATGTTATGTTTATTGTCTCAAAGTAAAGTCTCAAAGACCTCAAATGTGTGTTTTGGATAAGAGAGACATCAAAAACATGCAGTGTTGGGGGTTCTCCAGGACCAGGATTGGGAACCACTGTCATATAATATATACATTATATACACAATAAAGAGTTACAATACATTCATAGAAATTCAGTAAATCAGCATATCAATAGATTTAGATTTCACTTGTTTGTTTAACTATGAATTAAGTGTGTCTAAATTCACTATTATGCAAGTCTAAAACACTTTTTTAGTGTCTAAGAGTGTGTGGTTTCAACATATCACAGTCATCATAGTACTCCAAACTAGGACAGGAGACGTCTCGATCACTCTTGAATCGTTTAGAGCTGAGGCCTAGAGAACACTTATGTACTTTTATAAATCACACTTAATTTCTTATCCATATAATAGCAGTGTAGCATTTAGCATTTATTATTTATGATTATATAAACAACAGGGTGAGTAAATACTGACTGAATTTTATTTTTTGAGTGAACTATCCCTTTAAGTGTAGGGATAAGGGCAAAATGATATCATTCTCAGAATTTAGAAAAAAACAAACTTAAGACTAAAAATTGTCCTCGTGTTTTTTAATAGATTAATAATTATTACATTAATTTTTTATGTATTTTTGGGAGGGATTAATTCAGGGCCGGCGCCTTGGGGGTGGGGGTATGCGTGAAGGGGCACTCGGACTATCCCGCCCCCTCACTCAAGATGAGTGTGAAAATAGATTTTATTTATGAAATATAATGGTGTATTTAAATAAACCAAAATGCATAGGCTTTCTAGCATTAATATGATGCTACTATAGCAACAACTTAGGACAGTCCGTTTCACAAAGTCGCATTTTAATTGTTACATCTGACACACAAACTTTCCGCAAACGGTTCAACTAAGAATGCAGCACTACTGAGTAAGCTAAAGGTATGATTAAATAATTATTTAATGTTAAATAGAGGGCTAGATGGTCGTAGTTAGTTGATTATTTCGCTGTATTGTTATTGATTGTTGCTGTTCAATTTGTTCTAACTTAAAATGACGTTGAAATGAATCTGTTAAATGGGTCGCATTGAATGTGTTATGTCAGGGAATCGGTCGCAATAAGCTTGTGTTTCATTGTAAAGCAGACACAATTAAGTATTTCTGGTGGTTGTGGTGGTATCACTTGTCTGTATTTGTGGTAAATCTGCTGCCTAAGACATAGCCTATTATTTCCTGATGTCAGATTTTCGAATTTGTTGCCTATGCAATTTTGTTTTATTCAATAGCTACTCTGCCATCTGTATTTGCTAAGTACCTTTTAGTAGGGTCATTCACTCAGAACGCATTTTTCATTCCACCGCGGTTCTTTTCCATTGTATTTCAAACTAAATGCGCTAAGGACATCTTTGAATTTGTGTTTGAATGCTGCGCTCGTCTCAGGTCTTTATAGCAGCTTGTCGCGCATAATACATCATTCTAAAAAACGGTGCTCAAGTTCAAAGAAATGCCGCTTCTAAAAACTTCCACTGACCTGCCTCGTGACCAAAACACTATCTGTGTGAACCCAGTATTCTAATAGTAACGTTAGCGGGCAGGTTTGTTTACGGTCTGACAAATACGTGAATGGGCCACAATTATTTATTTTTATTTTTTTACTTTGTGCTACGTCATCGCCCCCTTTCGTTACCTCAGCCGCCCCCTCATCAGTGCTGCGCTGGCGCCAGCTCTGGATCAATTAACACATCTCTGATATCCTACACAGGACAATGCGTTCAAGTTTAAAGAAATTCAGCTTCTAAAAATAAGTCTCTAGACCTTGCGGTTTAAAAAAAAAAAAACTTCCACTGACCTGTCTGGCGACCAAAACACTGTCTGTGTGAACCCAGTATTAGTAGCCGGCAGGTTTGGTTACGGTCCGACAAATACGTGAATGGGCCACATATGTTTTTTGTTTAGTTTTTTTACTTTGTGCTACGTCATCGCCCCCTTTCGTTACCTCAGCCGCCCCCTCATCAGTGCTGCGCTGGCGCCAGCTCTGGATCAATTAACACATCTCTGATATCCTACACAGGACAAACTGTATGGAGAATGGCTTATGGATTGATAGAAATATAAAGTAAAAGTGTCAGGGTGATACAATTGTCCTCATATTATAATGAAGACGAAAAAAAGTCTTGTTAAAATAAACAAATTATTGAGACGACACATTTATTATTATTATTATTATTATTATTATTATTATTATATTTTTTTCCTCTCTCTTTAATTTATCATGGACACTCTTATATATTACTGACCCATAAAAAAATTATGATTCAGTCACAAGAATATGACAAGAATATGTTCTGAAAAAGTACCTGTCTCATTACTGATTTCTCCTTCTCCACACTTAATACAGTCATAACAGCAGACAGGTCTTCCTTCCTGTGCAGCCTTCCTAGTACCTGGAGGACAGCTCCCACTGCACACAGACACCGGCACCTGCAGGTGACAGAAATTAAACAATGCTTGGGGCAAAATAGCTAATGGTTTATTTTAATTAATTTATTTAATTAAAGTATATGCCATGAACAATACATGTGTTTTAAATTGTCTACATATGTCTACAGACACTCCCATAAAAACAAGGGGTAGCCTACTGCAGAGAAATCTTAATCACAAACACACAGAATAGAACTAAACTTTATACCTTTTCACTGCCATCATACCAAATGATAGCTCTGCTCAGACTGAATTCTTGGCCTTTAGTCTTGGATGCATCATATTGACCCACTGTCACAAAATCAACTGAACCGTCTCCCTGAAGCTGCCAATTCACAAATTCATAGGTAGCCACAGGGTCTCCATTGGTATCGAATGAAACAGAATAATTATTTTTAGTGAAGTTCAGTCGCTTGAGTTGATCAAAAACCTGCATGATGGGTTGTTATTTCAATTATTTGTTGAATAATCAGCACACAAATACTGGGAGTGCTATATTCAGAAGGTGATGGAATATTAAGATTTTTAAATATGTGTTGTGAATGAATCCATCAAAATTTAGTTAACATATTTCACAATGAGAAAACGTACCTGCCGGGGCTCAACTTTGATGTTTTTGTCACATCGCATTTCATTACAGACGATGCCATGGAGGGCATGAGCTACAGCGTAAGTGGCTTTGTACACCAAATAGGATGTGTCAGTGTACGGGTTCTGTAAAGCGCGCAGGTCCTCTGTGTCATCACATGCTGGCATACCAATAGAAGAACCTATTTGCTGTTTTAAACTACAGCTAAATGAACTTTCCCAGAATTCTGTGAGCAGGGGGAATTTTAGCGCTTGTTCTGGAGACAGGTCAAGTAGAAAGTTGCGAAAACCCGGAATAACAGAACGCGGGATTGCAAAACCCACAGCACCAATACACAAATTAAACCGCAGCATTTCTGGGTCTGTAACCCACGCCTCGCTGCCAATCCACTGCATCAGGGGAGGAGGCTGCTGGCTCAACTCTTCTAAAATAATTCTCATATCACCTTCGGCCATGAAAGCAACTATCACACGAGCCGTTGACTCGCGAATGACATCCGCGACTCTTTTCAGTTTGCTGCGCGGCTGGGTCCTGTAATAGGCCTCAGAATACTCCACACAGATTCCCTCTTCCTCAGCAGCTTTCAGGAATGATGCCATGCCATTGTTCCCATAGTCTGAATCACTGCACACAGCTCCGATCCACGTCCATCCGAAGTGCTTGACCATCCGTGCCAGTGCTGCCGCTTGATGGTGATCACTGGGGATGGTCCTGAAAAAAGTAGGATGCTGCCGCTTGTCACTGAGACACGCGCATGTTGCGTAATGACTCACCTAGTGTACCATGAAGAAAACATTTTTATTTTTTCTGAATATGAAAAATAAATACATTTTGATTGCTCGGATCACTATTACACGTTTACATGTAATATTCTGTGACATTTACAATAATGATTAAGAAGATGTGATTAAAATGCCAAAATGTTTATTCGTTCCTTAAATAAGAATAGGAAATAGTCATTAATATATATATATAATAGTTAGCACACACCTGTGTGATTCCAAGAGGACCAAAAAGTCTTGAAATACTTATAGCTGCAGTGGAAGCTGAATTTCCGATTAGTGTGGGAACTGGATTCAGTTTTGCACAGGAATCAGTGTCGTTAAATACAGGATCTAGTCCGTTGACAAGTTGCAATGCTACTTTGATTGCCATTGCCACAGAGGCACAAGTGTCATATATATGGTACCCTAAAGTGATGCCCGGCAAGAGATCGGAGCTGTTGTTTATCTCTTGGATGGCGAACTGTAAGGCACGAGCAAAGTGCAGTTCTCTGAAGTTCATGCTGTTGAAGTGCACACATGCAAAAACGGTATTATTAATATTATTATTAATATATAACATATGAATTAAAATAATCCATTAGCGTATTTTGACCAAAAAAACTATTTCTTTCAGCACAAGCCGTTCTATGGACTTTAATCAAATTCATATAAAACTCTAACCTGCCACTGCACACAAGTGGTTGTGGTCGTTTTGTGTAGGTTTGCTTCTCAGTCCTCACATAATAATGAATGGTGAAAGTCCCTCCAATGACAAAGTCTCCATCCTCAAAGAGAGCAGGGGGTTGAGGGTCACCTTGGAGTATGCAGCTGTTTATATTAACCCCACACACAGCAGGACAAAGCCTGGTAATACATAGTAGTGTCAAGGTCAATAAAAGTTTAACATGCATTTTTCTATAGGCAAGAAACCACTCCAAATGTGAGGTGAAAATTATGCCTTGTTATATATAACCACCACAGTCCCTACTGTTGTAGGGTATGCTGTAACTGTATTACAAAAAAGGGTGTGGTTACATCTGACATTCATATGTCTCAAATGTATTGCAAAGTTTCCAAACAACAACTATAGATATACATATAAGAAAAATGTGTGTGTGCATGTTTGTGTTTTTTTTAGTTTTTTTAGAGTAACTGTAAATTTGACAATTGCCTTGCCAATTTGATTTTGAAGGAGGGAGTGAAGTCAATACGAGGGGAGCTGGGGTCGAGGGGAGGCCTCATTGTCTTGGTGTGCACCAGTTTGGACTAACCAATACAGCGGTGCTTGGCAAAGGGGATCTTAGGGCCAACTGATTGCGGTGGAGGATCCATGGAGAGAAAGGATTTATCTGGTAGAGTTCAATTTCAGACATAGTTGCAATTGGGCGGGGTCAAATGCTGGAAAACTGTTGTGGAATAGAGGTAAGGCCTGTTTCATACTGGATGTGCATATTTTTTTGGTGCCCATGTTAATAGATTAGAGCACTCACACTGGGCGGCGAGGCAGTGCAAGCCGTGCATAGCAGAAGCAGCAGTGCCACGATCATTTCGGCACCAAGTGTATTTTTGTTGCGTTCCTCTCGTGGAATTAAAGCGACAATGCATAGTTTTTTTGGTCAAAATATAGATGTACTGTATTGACAGGGTTGGGGGGAGTGACGGAATACATGTAAAGGTGTTACGTAATCATGATACAGAAAAACAAATTGGTAACTGTAATTAGTTATGTCAAAAAACAAAGCACTCAGATTACAGTTACATTTAGTAAAAAATGGGAATGCTATCAGGATTACAATGGTTTCATTTAAGTAAGGAATAATGCACACCCGAGTTGGTGATGCAGCCACAACGCAAAGCAGAGTGAGAATTACTTGAATCTGTTCATCTTTCAACAGTGATTGGCAGCAGCCACCCCCACTGTTCTATTGTTTACTATATTTATTTGCTTGGTCAGTGTCACTTAGTGTTTTGGTTCTTTTACAGTTGTAGGCTGTAAGGACCTAATTTGAAATAACATTTGACAAAGTGATATAGACATGTAACGTGATCAAGACCTGCATGGAACAACTAAATAACTGCACGTTAACCAATCAGATTCAATCATTCAACAGTCCCATATAAATTACTATTTTGACATCAAAATGCTGTATTGACAGCTGCTTGATAAGTGGTTCCCAACTACATTCTTGGAGCCCTCCAACACTGCACATTTTGCATCTCTCCTTTGTCTGACACACCCATCTCAGATCTTGGAGTCTCTACTAATGAGCTGATGACCTGAATCAGGTGTGTTTGATTAAGGAGACATGAGCTGTGTCCCAAACTGAAGTGCGTGGACTCCGGAGTGCGCATTTGAAATGCGATTGCATCACAGCGTCACAACGTAAGCTGTCCCAATTCAGGATGCACCCTCCAAAGACGGCATTCCAAGGCTGATTGGAATGCCAAGGACACCGCGGCGCGACAAAAGCTGACGTATTTCGAAAGCGACATCAAATGCACCCTCCGTTTCCCAGGAAAATGAAGTGTACATCTGATGGACACTTCGCACCCTACCATATCCCAGAATCCCTTGCGCGCAGATGATGACAGTGTTTATATTCAAAGAGCACGGCGGGTAAGAGTTCTGTGGGGGAATTCACATTGAAATGCTAGTATTGTTTTCATTTACTTAAATACCTAACGAAACAAGTATTAAAAGCTAGCACGGCGGGTAAGAGTTCTGTGGGGGAATTCACATTGAAATGCAAGTATTGTTTTCATTTACTTAAATACCTAACGAAACAAGTATTAAAAGCTAGGGGTTTTTTTAACACAAAGCCCACAAACAATAAGACAACCACTATATAAGGCAATAATCTTTCCCTTTGTTGTGTTTTTGTAGTGCTGTCATGCAAGATATCTCTACAAATGTTTTAACCAAACTTTAGCACTTCAGTATTTTGTATGCATGTCCTGCTGTGTCGTATTTTCTAATGTTAAGATTGCAATGCAAAACTGTCTTTATATTTTTCATAAGTGTTTCCATTTTCTCTTGTTTTAGTACTATTCTGGAGAAAATGAGCCTGCTGGGGAAAGACTTAAAAAATACAAAATAAGCAAGTTAATACACACATCTTTTTTCTGAAATTGGAGTGAGTGGAAGCTGGTGGAGCTACTCGGGGAGGACATCAAATTCCAGAGAGAGACAGAGGAGAGAAAAGCACAGGAAAGCAGGGAGCGAATGGAGGGTTTTCTCTTCTTGAGAGAATGCTTAACAAATACATTATTTATTAGCCAAGAGAAAGCAGTGGAAAAAATGGGTAACATTACATTACAATTTTTCAATATATTTTTTTTAAATGTGACATTGTCAATGAAACAACCTAATTTCTGTAGTTTATTTTTGTGATGTAAGTTAAAAATGAGTAAGTGGTACACTGTAAAAAATGACTGTGATTTTAACAGTAAAAGACTGTAAAAATACTACAGTAAAAACATGTTAACTGGTTAACTGTAAGTTTCCATACTATATACGGTGAATAAATGTAATTACATGTAACAGTAAAATACTGTTAAAAATATGGTTTTTGGAAGTGAAAAAGAAAAAGCCACTGTATAATTTACAGTGAAAAACCCTAAATTGACACTCCCAGAATTCCCTGCATGACACTTCATATTTGATGTTTTTTTTTGTTGAAATAACGTTTCTTCTTAGATTTTTCTTATCAGTTGTGTACATTAGGGTGTACATCTTACATCTAATGTTGTTAAATTAATGTTTATTGCATTATTTCAGTATCATGTGTGTCACCATGATGGGGTTTAATGTTTGTGTGAATGACACTGTGTGCAACTTCTATATATAAGTGTGGCGAGGGGGGAGTGGTTCAGCGAGGTCTGCAGCGGGAGAGAGAGTTGGGAGACGAGCGGTGAGTAAGTGGGTCAAATGCAAATGACGAACACCTGTGGTTCCAGTAATTGGCGTGGAGAGACCGCATAAAGAGGCCCAGGAAAGAGCTGTGAGGGAGAGAGAGACTGACTGCTGACTGGGGAGAGACTGTGCCTGCTCTGGAGAGGCCTGCGATCGTGATTGTGATTGTGATTGTGTCTGTTTACTTTGTTTGAAGCTGAATAAAAACCCCAGCAACAGTCAAGCCGACCCCGTCCTCTTCCTTCTCAAGACATTGACTTTGTTAAACTGGTGCCGAAACCTGGGAAGGAAGCAGGAGAGCCGCCGCCGTCATGCAAACTCCGACAAGTACGCCATTTGCGGATTTCATCCCTCGCGGTCCTCCATCAAGAGCAACATCAGGCCTTACTGGAAATGAGGACTGATCAGGAGCGACGCTTCCAGGTCATCGCGCCTGATACCCCTATTATCGGGGGAAGCGCAGGTGGCTGCTCAGCAACTGCCCGTGTGGAACCTCTTGGTCTTTGACGATCTCAAAAGGGCCATCATCCAGCGGGTCGGCCGAAGCCCGAAGCAACATCGCCAGCGATTCCGTTCGCTGGACCTGGACGAGAGTGGCCGACCCTTCGTGCTGGCCCAGCGGCTCTGGGACTCATGCCGCAAGTGGCTACTGGCTGAGGGAAGCGACGTCGACAGTGCCACCGACCGACGTCGCTGGACTCAGCCATCCAATTGGCGGAGGATCAGATGGTGGCGTGCCCTGGGGTTGGCGAATCCCTTCCAGCTGTCTCTCTCTCTCCCCCTTTATTTTCTCCCTCTCTCTCTGCCTCTCAACCTGTCCCTCTTCCCAGGTCCCGTCCTCCAGATCCTCTGCGAGTCCCGCCCCGAGGGCGGGGTGGGGCCGGACTGGAGTATGCTACTGGCCCGAGAGCTCCACCCAGGGGGGCGCCCCGAGGGCGGGGTGGGGCCGGACTGGAGTATCAAGAGCTTGTAACACTCCAAAGAGAAAGGAAAAATTGAAATCGCATCATATGACCCCTTTAAACACAACTAAAGCACAGTTGTCATCGCTTACACACAACGATTCAAAATTGTTCACACTTGTTTCTGATTATGTGATCATACGTAATATGAGCCAGTTCAGAGTGCACAAGTGGCACAGGTGACTGAAAGATGATACGAACAATAGTTGGAAACAATCTGAAAAGGAGAGGAGGAATCAAGGCTGGATCTGTCAGACCAGAGGGTTTTTTCTGTAACATGCTATTCATTTAGAGCTTTATTTGACCGTTTTGGCCTTTGCAGTTGGACTGCAGTATTTTTGCAGTGTCCAAGTGCTGAATATAAACATTCAGTACTATTCAATATTCAGCATAATACTATTCTTGCAGTACATACAGTAGGTCTATACAGTATATTTGGTGTGATGTATGTGCTTAATGTTTCAGCGCACTAGGAGGCGCTCAAGATCACTACTGTGTGTATGTTATGTTATCAATGAAGAAAAAGACTTCAGAGTTCTCAGTAAATTAGAAGTGAGTTGACAGCACTCGTCTCAGCGTATTATTCATGTTATATAACAGATAAGATATAACAATGATATTAGGTTAAAAGTCACATTTACACACATGCTACAGACAGACAGATAGATAGATAGATAGATAGATAGATAGATAGATAGATAGATTGATCAAATCAAATAAAAATACCCCAAAACACATCATTACAAGCAGTTTGTTTACCCAAACGTCAAATGCATGTTTACACTTTCCCCTCACACACAAATCATGTTTCGCGCCCAATTGCTCTAGGGGAGGATCGCAACAGAACTATATGGTATAAATGTTGTAATACAGAAGTATATGCACTGTAAAAAGTAATCATTGAATCTACTTAAGAAAAGCGAGTAAACATAACTGATTTTTACAAATTTGTTGAATTTACTTAATTACACTGTGTTATGTGAACTTTCAGGTGGATGCAATAGTTAAACTAAACAACTTTAGTAAACAGTACTTA